GATGATGGTTGAATTCTAGCTGAAGGAGAACTGTTAGACTGAACCATGTGATATCATTTTACCAGGACACAGACAAGGAAACAAAAAGTCAAGTGAACATAAAAAGCCTGATTCCCCACTTGGAGAATACTGCACTTTACATAGGAGTTCTGCAAAACTTGTGTTTTTCACTTCAAATATCTATGTCTCATTTCTCCTATAAGTTTATTATGAGAATAAAAAATAAATGTGAATATGCTTTGAACACTATATCCAATGTCCTAACATGAAAATTTGGGGGGATCCCATGATATTATATTTCAATACAATTTTGTCAGTGGTGATATTTCTCTACTCATCTGTACATCTATACCTTTGTCCTGTACTATGGGGTAAAATACAACTGCTTAGTTTTCTCATACAGACATGGTGGGTGTTTTGACTCATTTCATTCATGTTCAGACTGTTCAGAGGACGGACTCAACTCTCTTCCTGACAATATGCAAATATCAAGTTTGAAAATTAATTTTCAATGAAAACCTTCATTCATTTCCATGCAAACATCTAAATTTAAAAGACTAGGTCACACACACACACAAGAAAATCAATACTTCACTTAACATGTGTTACCTCTATTACACAGTCATAAAAATGTGCTTTTAATGATTTTCCAAGTAGTTAAAGAACAAAAGATGTGCTTTTGAGGCTCCCTGTATCTTAATAGTGGTTATTACTGAGAGAACACTGCATTGATTTATCGACAACGTCGGGTCTCAGAGTGAATTCCAAACTATTAAGCTGATGTCGTCTTGAAAAAATATATATAGTTAAAAGGCAGAGACATATAGCTATATGAACACAGTGACATATGACAAAGGTCTATGAAACCTCAGAACCCTTCCCCTTACAAATGAAAATGAATCAAATGTAAGTGATTTCTAGTCTTTACTAAGGCACCAATAAAACAGATCTGAGTTTGAAAGCAGTCAAAATCTGTTTTTACTGTGTTTATTCCTAGCCAGTTTTATTTTGGCTGATGAAGATAGCTTTAACACTACTGAGATTTATCTTACTTTTATTAACATTTCAACAGTATTGAAGAGCTGTATCTTTTACCAAAGTAGTAAAAGTTGAATTTATTTTTCTAAGACTGTAATAAATAAGTCAAGAGTACAGCTTTTAGCCAAATAAATGAGTAAAGACCTTAAAATTATTTTCCAGTTTCAACCTCAATAAAATCAATTGCACTTAATCATTTCAAAGTTGCATTATGACCTTGATATTAATTTCAAGTTTGTATCTAGAATAGTTTTTATTTGATGACTTTAAGACAGCAAAATAAATAAAAAACGTACTATGAGGAAACAAGGAAATCTGGGTTTGGAGGATTCATTCACCTGTCTTTGCTTTTCAATCATTGTGCCCTAATCTTGACTGAAAACCAGGTATCCCACTACCTTTCCTAGCAAGCAGCCTGATAATTCAATCAATACAATCAATTTCAGGAACAACTCAAATTGCTTGATTAGTTCAGTAGCTATCATTTCTTTTAACATTTTATGATAATGAGTACATAATAATAATCCCAATGAAATAATAAAAAGAAATATACATGTCCTTCATGAAGGTCATAAATACATATCTTTCATTTATCTACCATATATATACACGTATGATTTTCATGAAGAGAAACATTTGCATACATAGTACTCCCATAGGCTCATACTGAGTGAAAAGATGTTTCTGAAGTCCTGAAGAATGTGCTATGTTTGTATGAGAGCCCATAAACTATAAAATCCAATTTTCCATTATGTCTATTATTGGTCATTTTTTCTTAGACTTGTGATCTCTGTGTTTCTGATTCTATAACCATAAAATAGATAATATACACACAAATATATATGTGCATGTAATTACAGAACCAAATGTTTCATAAACAAAAACATTAATGTTTCTCTAAAAATTTAAGAGAAATGCCAAATGCTAAATGCAAATACTATAAGAGTAATGGTAATAAAGTGACCTCTTATTGAAATATAAAAAATATCAAAGGTAATTCATTATTTTTTTTATGACAGAGGAACTGTCAACCAAAATCTTCATTTAGAAGAGAAAGGATTGGTGAGAAGGGGAAACATAGATGTAGGCGGAAGATAATTTTTGTTTTCCAAACTATAAGATCTACCTACTAGCTACATCTAGAACACGTCAACAATATGTTGTGATCCTGAAACTTCAATCTACTGAGACTAATAACAGTAAGAAGTCAAATGATAAATGATACATTGTATGAATACAGCCATGCAATTACACAAATGTTAAATTGCCAAGTCAACAAAAATTCCTATGTGTACACTTGTCAAATAGGACTTGGCACATCAAAAAGAAAAAAAAAATCTAAGAGAAAACTGCTCCATGTAAGCTCTTCTTATACCTTTGTTTAATATAATTAATGAAATTGAAATGTATATTTTATTTCTGACCATTCTTTTGAGTGCAAATCAATATTAATGATAATTACTTCCTATCTTCAAATCCATTTATCTCCCAAGTCTGGGAAGATGATACACAGGCTGTGTGTCCATGTGTTCTTACACAGTCTCTAGGATGTTAAGCCTGTACTTGGTCATTTCTGTCACTTTAATAACACTCTCCATCCAATGAGCTAACTAATATTTATGTTTTCAATCTCTGCTAATTTAATTTAAAGGTGATTAAAGGTGATTCTCTGAAGAGACTAAGAGAGGATATGGACTTTTTATGACATATGCTTACAAACAGAATAAAATGTATGCCTATCTTTTGGGTATGTCACCCATTTATTTATTCATTCATAAAGTTATTACTGAGTTCTCTCTAGACAGGTAATGGACTCTGGTACTAGATTCTATAGATGCTACAATGAATAAAACTAAATCCCTTTCTTCAACAAGTGTGCTTTATAGTGGTTACTGGATTACCTATATAAATGACTCTTTTTCCCCCCCAATTTGAACCGTAATTTTTCTTTCCGGAAGTATAAGCATAAATTGATTATACAAATAATCAAAAAAGTTTCATAAACCTTGTATTTTTGTCAAGTCATAATTTTAAGCTCTAGATGAACAAAATCAACAAAATGTCAAAATCATTGTAGAATGTAAATATTATGAAATGTTAACAAAGGTTTACACTATAAATTATCCTAAGTAAACATGTTCCCATTGCTGTGTGTGTGTGTGTGTGTGTGTGTGAGAGAGAGAGAGAGAGGAGAAAGAGAGAGAGTGTATAAATGCTTTAAGTTGAATGGAATTTTTCATTTCCCTTTAAGGGAAGCCAATATGGACAATTATTGCAACTAATCTTAAAGATGGCTGGTCCACTTAACACCACTCCCCTTCCTATAGAAATGGCCCTTCATGTCTAAGGGTATGTGTGCTCTAAAACCCTGCTCCCTGACCAGAGCTTACCAACCCAGAGTAAACACCCTGATTCAAGCTGGAGCATTCAGATTCCCTCTCCTAGAAATTTCAAATTTGGACGTCATTGTCAGCAAATGGCCAGCAACTCTTACTGCTATGGCATCCAGAATAATTCTTGTTCTTGCCTTATTTACCCATACTGTCCAGCAATTTCTTCAACTAAATAGACCACCCAGTCTTTTCTCATCAAATCCCCTAAAGCTGAAGTGAGCTGGGGACAATTTATATCATTTGCAAGACATTTAACTAAAGAATATATAAGTAATGGGGTGCGGGTGGTGAAGGAATAAAATAAACTTACTTAGCCTCTGGTCTGGTGTTTATGAGAGATGATATTACCAAATGTGAGATGACAATGACCTTTTTAAAGAGCCTAGCTGTTTAGAAAATAGGAAAATGTTAACAGGATTAATAGCACGAATATAAAAAAAAAAGAAGCAAGGTACAAAGCATCTCTCCTCTTTTTTTAATTTTACAAAAAATAAAGTAGTTCTCAGTCTACTGAATTTAAAATCTTAATGTTAAAGAAAACTCACTTAAGTGATTTTTTTCATTTATGAATATTTTAGACTTAAAAGTTTAGACTATGCGGGCGCCTGGGTGGCTCAGTTGGTTAAGCGACTGCCTTCGGCTCAGGTCATGATCCTGGAGTCCCGGGATTGAGTCCCGCATCGGGCTCCCTGCTCAGCAGGGAGTCTGCTTCTCCCTCTGACCCTCCCGACCCTCCCCCCTCTCATGCTCTCTCTCTCTCAGTCTCTCTCTCTCAAATAAATAAATAAAATCTTAAAAAAAAAAGTTTAGACTATGACATAAAAGAATCTAGCATTCCTATACAAAATCATTGTATAAATTTTACTTAGATAGTACTTGAGTATTTAAAAGAATCTTTCCCATTTAAGCCACACTTTTTCGCCTTTTTAAAAAAGTAGCAACAGATTACAGTAGAGAAAAATAAATGGTATACATGAAACAATGTAGGTCGGACTGCAGAAAAAGAATATTGCAATTGATCGCATGAGGGAGGGCTGGGAAGAAAGGGGGAAAATATCTTATGAAACAGAGAAAAAGTTCCAGGGTTTTACACTGTCAAATCTCTAACTTTCCTTCTTCCCACTACCATCATTTGTGGGGAAAGATAGAAATTAGGTTGCTTGAAAAGGCTCATTTGGACAGTCTGTCATGCCACAGAGACTGTGTGTATGTGAGACAAATAGGGGTCCAAATGACCTGCAGAAAAATAGGTATCCGTGGAGTTTGTGACACTAAGGAGAAAATTTAGGACAAACCGCAGAAAAGGATTTTAAGTTTAAGGTAGAATTCATGGTAAGTCTCAAAGACTGAAAAATTAAATACTGTTGAGATATGTATCAAATTGTACCTTATTTAAAAAAAAAAATCCTGCTCCAAAATTAATATGTATTTGCTGTTCTATTCAATGTTTACCAAAATTTAGATGCTTTAAGAATAGATGTAGGCTCGGTCCTTCTGCCGTGCGGGATGAGGCGGCGGCGGCGGGGTCCGCGGCTCTGGCTTCGGGCGCCCCGACCGTCGGGTCCGGCGCCTCCGGCCGGGGAGCTGACCCAGCCGTCGGTGAGCGAGCTGTCCGGGGCCGTGCGGACCAACATCCTGTGCACCGGGCGCGGCTGCGGCAAAATCCTGCCCAACAGCCCGGCGCTCAACATGCACCTGGTCAAGAGCCACCGCCTGCAGGATGGCATAGTAAATCCAACAATAAGAAAAGATTTGAAAACTGTACCGAAATTCTACTGTTGTCCAGTTGAAGGATGCCCTAGAGGCCCTGACAGACCATTTTCTCAATTTTCTCTCGTAAAACAGCACTTTATGAAGATGCATGCTGAAAAGAAGCGTAAGTGCAGCAATTCCTATGGCACGGAGTGGGACTTGAAAAGGCATGCCGAGGACTGCAGCAAGACCTTCCAGTGCCCGTGCGGCTGTCCCTACGCCAGCAGAACTGCGTTACAGTCCCACCTCTACCGCACTGGCCACGAGATCCCGGCAGAGCACAGGGATCCACCTAGTAAGAAAAGGAAAATGGAGAGCTGCCTGCCCAGCCAGAAGTTGTCCAGTAAGCCCACCGAGTCCTTGAGCACCCAACCAGTTCCAAGACCAGACACTCAAGAACTGGAAACTTCAGATGTAAAGCTGGTAGCTTCTTTTGAAGACTCTTGCAACACCTCCGAGATACCCTCAAGTTGCTTTTACCCAAGCCCAAAGTGGCTCTGGTGAAACTTCCTGTGATGCAGTTTTCTCCCATGCCTGTCTTTGTGCCTACAGCCGACTCCTCGGCCCAGCCTGTGGTGTTGGGTGTCGATCATCAGGGTTCTGCCCCGGGTGCTGTGCACATACTGCCCCTGTCAATCGGAACCCTGATCCTCGGCCTAGATTCAGAGGCTGGCTGTCTTAAGGAAAGTCTCCCTCTTTCAAAAATTGTAAGTCCTTTTGCTATGGAGCCAGTTAGTACAGGGTTCAAGTGAACTTGGGGAAGAGCCTGTCTAATCCTTTACAAGAACTAGGGAACACATATCAGAAGAACAGCATTTCTTCAATCAACGTACAGACAGAGCTGTCTTACGCCACGCAACACTTCATACCTTCCACACAGTGGGCTGGGCCTGATTCTTCTGTATCGTCTTGTTCTCAAACAGATTTGACGTTTGGTTCTCAAGTCTCCCTTCCCATCAGTGTTCATACGCAAACGTTTTTGCCCAGTTCTAAGGTGACCTCATCCATAGCTGCTCAGACTGATGCGTTTATAGATGCCTGTTACCAGTCAGGTGGGATCTCCAGAGAAACCCAGACCAGTGGAATGCAAGGTCTGACAGATGACCGAGTACAGATGGACCAAGCTGTTGACATTTTTGGGAGCATCCATTCATCCTACGGTGTTTCTGCAGACAGCATTATAAGCAGCAGCTTAGTAGCGGAGACTGTCGCTCATGATTTGTTACCTCAGAACCACCCTAAGACTTTACATCATGATCTTGAGAAATCTGCAATGATTATAAACTTCAGTGCACAGCACAGTATGCTTCCTTCACAGAACATGACAGATAACCAGACCCAAACTATAGATTTATTAAGCGATTTAGAAAACATCTTGTCAAGTAATCTGCCCAGTCAGACACTGGACAATCGCAGCCTTTTGTCTGACACAAATACTGGACCTGACCTCCAGCTCCCATCTGGCCCGACCCAGAATCCCGCAATCGATTTTGATACTGAAGAGTTTTTGTCCGCCTCAAATATCCAGACTCAAACTGAAGAGAGTGAGCTTAACACCATGACCACCGAGGCTGTCTTGGAATCACTGGACATAGAGACTCAAATGGACTTCTTCCTTGCAGACACATCTGCTCAGTCCTATAGTTGTAGGGGAAATTCTAATTTCTTAGGCCTTGAAATGTTTGATACGCAGACACAGACAGACTTAAACTTCTTTTTAGACAGTAGCCCCCACCTGCCTCTGGGAAATATTCTGAAACACTCCAGCTTTTCCATGAGTCTGATTCATCTGACACAGAGACCCAAACTGAAGGAATCTCTGCTGCTAAAAACATACCTGCTGTAGAGAGCAAAGTTCATTTGAACAGTACAGAAACACAGACCATGAATTCTGGCTTCGAAACCCTAGGGAGCTTGTTCTTCACCAGCAACGAAACTCAAACAGCCATGGATGACTTTCTTCTGGCCGATTTGGCCTGGAACACAATGGAATCTCAGTTCAGCTCTGTAGAAACCCAGACGTGTGCGGAACTACACACAGTCTCCAACTTCTAAAAATGAAGTCTGAGCGTGCGACGGCATTTACGATTTCCTTCTGGGTTTGGAAAATGGAGAGTAGGACAACAGTGTTAACACTACTGAATGTAGTTACTGATGCATTTACTTCAATTCTTGGAGGGTCTTTGCCTTTTGTACTTGTAAACATGAAATTTGTGTATAAATGTGAGTGTATTATAAAGTGTAAGATGTTGATCTAAAAATATTGTTTCTGTGTTGCCTACATTTGCCCTGTCATAGTGAGTCTTCCCATCTTAAAAACACAAGTGTATTTCACACCTTTCAAACCCATCTAGCAATTAGCTGAAGCCAAGCTTACCAGGTACTAGGGTACAGACTTTTCAGATCTTCAAAACATTTCAGTGGAAATGTGTCTTGCTTAACTTAAATTGCACCTACAATATTTGACAGTGTTTGTTAGAAATTCCTGTTTCCTGACAGTAAATCTAAAGAAATGGGATGCCACACGTCAGATGTAAGCGCCAACGCTTTGATGGCGTGAGACTCATGCTGCCTGCGATTTCATCTGCTTTGACATCTCACTTTTTTCTGACTTGAAGACAAAGGAGAACTACAGCTGTCTTTAGCTTTTGAGACCATGTAGTCAATGCCATTCTTTTTTTTTTTTTTTTTAAGATTTTATTTATTTGACAGAGAGAGACACAGCGAGAGAGGGAACACAAGCAGGGGGAGTGGGAGAGGGAGAAGCAGACTCCCCACAGAGCAGGGAACCCGATGTGGGACTCCATCCCAGGACTCTGGGATCATGACCTGAGCTGAAGGCAGTCGCTTAACCAACTGAGCCACCCAGGCGCCCCAAGTCAATTCCATTCTTCCTCCACATGAACTATTGCTGATACCAACCCAAGTGTACAGTACTTTCCTCACAAGACATATTGCTGTAAAATTACTGCTTCACGAAGTAGCAGCACGCACTTAGTGTAAATAGCGATCCTTCTAATCTGAGTAACCGTACGTCATACCAGCCGTGGAAACTCATACTGGAGTGTGCTCTGGGAACATCCCTCCTACTCTCCCCGGTAGGCGAGGGTGGTGCTCCCACAGCTGCTTCTCAAAGTGTACCCGGAGGCTGGATCTGAGTTTTGTCTCTCTAAATGTTAAAAAAAAAAAAGGGGGGGGGGAGAGAAAAGGACATCCCCGCCTGCTAAATTTCAGTGTAAGTTGATAGGGCAAGTGTGCAATCAACAATTATTCTAAAGTGAATCTTCTCATCCACTTCTCATCTTTTCCTTGAATAAGGAAAGACTTTGGCCTAGCAAGGATGTTATCTGTGCCTTGAGGATAGCAAGTATAGAACAGATCCACCTAAAATAAGGTATTCTGCATTTTATTGCTTTATTTGTTTAGATGGCAATACCAGTCTTCAAAGAAAAGGAGGTGAAGACCAGTTATTTCAGTAATCAAGAACATCCATGTTTTTAGATGGAAGCATGGTCATATATGCTTTGGAGGTTTACTGTATTTAGGATTGTTGTCCAACTTTCAGTCAAGGAAAAATCGGTGCAACCAGTATGTTTTCTAAGTTTATTAAGAAAAAGTTCCTTCTGTGGCACATGCTTATGCTGCTGAAGGCAAAATCCTCAAAATAAAACCTAAGGAGTAGACTAATAGCCCCAAGTACATAGATGATGTTACTACTAATTCCTACCCCATAGAAGAATAGTTGGTAGTGAATAAATAACATATCCTGGAGAGATGAACCCAACCTGGTAGATTAGAGTTTGCTTTGGTCACAGTGGCCTATGACTATGGGTTTCAAAACAAACATAGAGCCTTAACTTAGAATTTCATTGTTTTAGAATCGTCACTGCCTTAATGTTCAAACATTGATTTCAGTTCTTCCAGTAAAGGAGAAGTGCATGTTTGTTTATGGCTTTTTTGTAAATATAAATGCAGTGATCTTTGGCTTTAAAAAAATTTGTTTCTGTGAAAATGTTTGATAATCCAGCCAATAGAGTTATTTACAGAACAGTTGAGCATGTCATAGTTCTTCATGTACAAGAACTGTTCCCTCCCAAAACCTTAGTTACCTGAATTGTCCTAAGATTATTCGTAAAAACTGAAATTCAGTGATTAAAGAGAAGTGAGAATTCTAAAAAAAAAAAAAAAAAAAAAAAAAGAATAGATGTACTCTTTTTTTCATTTTATTTTTTTTAAGATTTTATTTTTAAGTAATCTCTACACCCAATGTGGGGCTCAAACTCACAACCCCGAGATCAAGAGTTTCATGCTCTACCCACTGAGCCAGCCAGATGACCCAAGAATAGATGCATTCTTATAGGGACTGTTCCTTATCATGTACACAGACAATTCATGAAGCCACTTCTTTAGAGTATATGTGGTCTAATCTTTCTTAGAGGACACTGCAAACCAGAGTGGTAGTTTTTCCATTTTTGTACTGAAGATTTCTGGGAAGCCTCACTTGGGAGTTATCTAGAACTGGTTTTGGTTCCGGTTTTGCTAATAAGTGCTTTTAGGCATTTGAGCATTTTCATTAACCTGAACTATCTCCATTTCATTCACTTGACATGTATTTTCAATGAATTCCTACTGGAAACAAGAGCCTCTATTCAAATGAAATGTGCATTCCTAGGATAAATCTGCCTAACAAGAGTTGTACCTAATTTCCTGCTATAAAAATCTTTGTGGATAATCCACTTAACATACCTCAGTGTGTATTAGGAGTACAACAGGGCAAGAGGGTACAAGGATAGTTGAGCTACTTGATCTTCAAGGTCATTTCTGGTATTGACATAATAAGCACTCAAAATATTTTTAATCAGTAAATAAATCAATGAATGAATGTATATAAGACTATTAGAACAATCTTTAGCAAATCATTAAACTGACTTAGCCACAGCCTTACTTCTTTAACAGCTTGTTTATGAGGAACTATGTCTTTGGGAGGCAGCTCAGCATGGTCTCTTGGCTCACTGGCTGTTCTGCCCCTCTGACACTTAACAGCTTTGTGATCTTAGGCAAGTTACTTCTAGATTCTGTTTATCTGTAAAATTGATTTAATAGTGTTTTTGTAAAGATTCAATGAAATAATACACAGAAAGTGCTTAACATAGTATCTAGCATTTAGAAAGTGGTCCATAAGTATTAGTTATTTTTAATACATTTTATGAGCTCACCTAAAGTGAAAGATCAGCTCTTTGAGCTAGACCCTCCTAGTGGCAGACTGCAAATAAACTGGCCGCAAACATCACATACCACCATAACTGATGAATGCTTTTAGAAAACATTTTTATAGAATTATACTATTCAAGACTACATTCTTCATAAGAAATACAGTATGGTGTGATCCTGCTTCCTATTTTCTAACCAGACTTATGTGCTGGGCATCCCTTTTGTCCTGCTTATGTCTTTCCCAATAAACACTGACAGATGTTAAGTGACAAAGATTTTTACGTTAGGAAAGGGAATAGAAATTCTGTTCAGAGTTGGTTTTTTTTTTTTTTTCACATTAGAGGAGCAGTATTTTTCTCACAGTGTTTTCCTATTTGCTACTAACAAATAGGAAATTGGCATAACTGAAGACCGCCCATCTTGTGAGCACCTGGACCGTAATTTATAGTCAGAAGCATCAATTCAAAGCAGCAGAGAGATGCTTCAGTAATTATGAAATCTTGTGAAAGTGAAATAGGCAATTAGTGTATTTCCATTTTATTTTTTAATTTTCATGGGAAACTCAAGTGTGTTCAATTTCTTCACTTGCAATTATAGGGCTAATTAACGGGAATTGGTGGTGCTCTGTGTATGATAATGACACTTAGTTGTGGGTTGGAAAACCAATAAAGAATTACAAATAAAATTAAATTCAATATGAAAACAGCCATATTGAAGAAGGGGTGAGAAGAGCAGCTAGCAACTTAAATATTAAACAGCTACACAGAATATACATTTACAGTTGCCTGGACATTTATGAGCCAAGCACCCAGTTATTCATTGGAACATTAATTTATAGTCTGACAAACATTAAACTTTCACAAACCTAAACTATGGCTGAGATTTATTTTCCAAAAATGTGCTCAATTATTTTGGGGAACCTATACAACATTAAACCATTCAATCATGCTTTACTGTGACAGATGCTTGGAACCGAAATACGAAGAAATACATCCTATGTCTCTGATACCACAATTGAGTTAAAAAAAAAAAAGTAGATACATCAACATCCATAATCACACATATTTTCAACCTTTACTCTGAACATTGCTTTTACCTCCTTGTCTCCTGGAACCTTCTTGAGGAGTGGCTCTTTTCTTTCCTAAAAGCTCGGTACCATCAATACAGAAGGTAGGTGTCTTAACTACCACTGCACGTATTTCCCCTTTCCCCCCCAAAAACACCCAGTTGTGAATTTACTGTCACCAAATCATATCTACTGTATCTCCTTGTCACAGTCAACTATGGCAACTCCAGATGATTGCTCCTCAATCCTTTTAAATTTTAGTGTCTGGATTCCTGTAAATATACTCAAAGCCGTCATAATTCTTTGTAATATCAACATCCAAAAAATTAACCTCTCAATACTCTGGCCACTCAAATCCTTAACTTCTGCACCTCTAATAATATGGTGATCTTATCACCACTTTACTTCAGCCCTTCATGCCCAAGCTCCACTCTATCTTATTAACCATAAATGCAACACACCCACAATTTCAATTTCCATAATCCCATTCTATTACCATTATCTTCTATCATTCCAACTCACTCTGGTACCACCACAATTATTCAACTCCTGTAGGACCAAGAATTGATTGACCTGATGATTACTTTGCTTATGTTCTTAATTTCCTTTTTACTTAGCTTAAAATCCATGGTCCATTATAAGGCTTATCATAATAAGCCTAACTACTAAGTTTAAACTACTGTCACTTTCTTGAGTCATTCATTTTTTAAAAATGTATCTATAAATACATCCAACTCTGCACTTACTACATGCACAGTTGAATAAATGGGAGAGCTACACTTCTTGCCACTTGTCCTGCTGCCAAAACTATCATCATCTCCTGGATTAATGGATTCCAGCTTCTTGCATCACCTCAGTAGGGTATTTTCAACATATCATCTCCTACTACTTCCCTCCTTGCTCACTACCTACTAGCCATACTAACCTTTTTGTTATTCTCAGAATAATCCAGACATAAGCCAGGGCCTTTGCCTTCGCTTTTCC